CATGACATACAGTTTAAGACCAATTACAAAGAAAATGAAAGATCCAGGCACACAAATCAAGGTACTACCACACTTTTCTGAGAATGAGCTTTCAGCATCCTGTGCATGCAGACCAAACATGTTGACACTCAACCACTCCCCCCCAGCTACATTCCCTCCCCCACCAACCGTCCACTGCAGAAATAGTGCATTCATCAGTGTGGGTGTGTGTGGTGTGAAATGATGCACCACAAAAGAGGAAACAGCAAGTGTTCTCACGATTCAGTCCACTACGTCACTGTGTGTGGTTTGTGGTTCTGAAGAAGCTGCTGATAAAGTCTCTAAAAGACAGAAGAGTTCCAGTCTAGCTGATTTAAACACAGCTCCTGTGAGCTGCACAGACATTAGAGTGGGTTAGACTCCAGTGAAGAGCTGCTGAGAGAGCTGTGTACTCAGTGTGGTATACAGGGCTAGTGTAGTGCTGGGTGTGGAGCTGTCAGTGTGCTGTGAACTCAGTGTTGTTTTACTAGTGAGGATGTTGCTGACTTTTTATCTTCTCTTCATTGGGCTTCATGTCTCTGAAGGTGAGTGTGACATTTTATCCTAATCTTCATAACATTATAAATGTTATTTAAAATGTAAAGCTGTACTGTAAAGCTTCAATGTATTATCGTAGATTCTACTTTGGGCACTAACTTGAGTTGAACACTGGTGGGGGAGAGGGGGGTGAATTTGCATCCTAATCTGATGAGACAGTTAACTTGGAAGGACAATGTAGGTACAGGAATCATGTGTTAATGTTATACACTTTTGTAATTATACTGAGTTTATTAGAAGTCACAGTGATGGTGCGTGTCCAGCCCATCCCCCAACTCCACTGTCTGTGGAGAGGAGACTTTACAGTAAACATGCATGAAATGAGCTAGTCTTAGTTTAGTTTAGCTCCCTCGTTATTCTCTATCTTACCCACAAAAGAGACTTTAAAGCTGCCATAGAATGTATTTAGTACACATTTTCAATTGTTCTCTGATGTCTACACAGAAGACATGTGACTTTGTTCAGGGTGAAAAATGCCCAGAAGTGTTTTTACATGTGCATTTCCAACACTACGATTCGACCCTAGAAAGAATCAAGCTGTTTTTTTTTTCCCTTTTATTGTACGCTTATGAATTATTTGATGAGCTCTGCCCCTCTCTTTGGAGTGAAATGCTGATTGAAGCTTGCTCGATATTGTCCAAGGCTTGAAAAGTCTTGCTTAAGTATTGCTGGCTTTGGTGCAAAGCTACAGCAGCCTGAAAAGCTAATGCTTTAGCACAGTGAGCTTAAAATTCCAGCAGCCACCCCAGTAATTCAATTCAATTCCAGTCAATTGTGATTAGTTTCTGTAATTGCCTCACAAAGTGCTTGTAAACTTCTAGAAAAATCAGAGACAGAGCAGTTAATGTGATTGCTTTGTGTTGCTGCTTTCTTTATAATTTGTGCTGAAAATGAATGGCTATCATTAATTTAAGTGTTAGTCACTACTGATGGGAGGCTGTGGCTTGACAGGTGGCTACCACTCCTTCTTCAGGTATGGGTATGATACGTGGCAGGGTGTCTGGTACTATGTTGCACGTCCCTTTCCTATACCGAACCGTAAAAGAAAATCCCTGCAAGTGGACTATTGGTCAATCTTGAGGAGGGTTTGGGATGGTTAAAAACCCAAGACAGGTCAACATGATCTGTTACCACTTCAAAGTGTTGTCCTTCAAAGTACACTCTCCACTTCTCAATGGTCCATTTCACTGCAAGACACTCCTTTTCTAAAGTGGAGTAATTCAGCTCGGCACCTTTCAAAAGCCTGGAAACGTACGTGATTGCATGTTCTTGTCCCTCCACTTCTTGAAGGAGTACCACTGCCAGCCCTTTGTCACTTGCATCAACCTGCACTTGAAAACCCTTCATAAAGTCCGGTGGCAGCAGGATTGGTGAGGAGATCAAGGCCTGCTTGATGTCTTGAAAGGCTCTTTTGCACTCGTCAGTCCACATCCACGTGGCATCTTTCTTTTTCAGAGCGTTCAAGCAGGCTGCTCTGTCGGCAAACCGTGGAATGAAGCGATGGTACCATCCAGCCATCCCCTAGAACCCCTGTACTTCTTTTACAGACCAAGGCTCAGGGAATATTCCCAACCTTCAGGAATATTGTCCACAGGAGGGGGAGGCCAGTTTTGTTGGTCCTCTTGGCTCTCACCAGGTTCTGATATCTCCTCCTCATCATCTGAGCAGATGTATAGCTGGCTCCCGGTGTCAATGATGTCATTCATGGATCTTCAAGTCACAAAATACCAGCAGTCAAGTCTAAAGGGGGTGAGGACCCATCCAGTCCCTGTGACTGTGTACTCACAGCCATCTTTACAGAGAGTTTGGGTTCTTTTGAGAATAGGCAAATGAAAATGAGACAAAAGGTAGGCAGTAGTTTCTATTCTTGAAACTGTGCAGGTCCCCATACGGGCCACCATTATGTAACCGGCTACTTAAAATAGGGTCACACAGAAACGTTAAGAAAATATGGGTACCTACTGGGCTACGGAGGAAGATGTATGTGGGTGGGTCAAAAGGAAATGCAAAAATAATAGAACCAAAACAGGTCCACAAACACACTGTGAAGCCTTCAATGTATTGAGTTCCTGGTGTTTTGGTCAAATGTCCAGCGGAATATGTGGAACAGTAATCCTTACACCAACAGTGGAATTGATGGGTGGCATAAAGTCTCCTCCTAATAATACATTAACTACTGAAAATGAGCAAAACAACAACAATAATGTAGGGTTTAACCAAACAAAGCCTGGAGTTAGCATAGTATGCTAACAGCTTCAATAAACCCAGTTGGAAACCATACATTTCATAATAATTTCATGAACATGGTTCACAGACTGTATAAGGACAAAAAACATTGTACCTACACCAGCATAGAAACACAAGTTTCCCAGTACAGGAGACAAATAGCCCAAGCAGAGAGTACATGTGTTGCAAACAACTCTCTTCTACTTCCTGTTTGCCTGCCTTTTCATTTCCTGAACCTGCCTCAAGGAGTCAGTATAGATTACAGCTCCCCCTGAGGCTGTAGGTGGAAATGCAAGCAATAATATATAACCTATGGTAAGAAAAAAAAAAAAAAAAAAACAAATAAAAAAACAAACATGATCATGTGACCATGATGGTTACAGTAGTGTCATTATTAAGTGAAACTCTTTCTTCTATGAACCCATATTACTTTTAATTAATTAATAGCTGCCAGTGTACATAGAGATCTTTTTCTGTGATATTACATGCATATATGTATGTATGTATATGCTTCAGGTTTGGGATGGTCAGGATGTGGCCTGTGATATGATCAGTGATTTGGCATCAGACGATGTACATGCTTCTACTGCTTCTCTTACTGTACGTGTCTATGACTCTTTAGGTTGCCAGCTATTCAACATTTTGATCAATACACATTCGTGAGATGATAAATTTACATTTTGAAACATTTTCCCACAGCCAAAGTACATTTGGGAAGTAGTCAAAACAAAAATGTGCCCCCCCCCAAAAAAAAACAAACAAAAAAATCTAAAAATATATTTTTCAATCACACCACACTTTCAAACTAACCATATATATATATATATATATATATATATATATATATATATATATATATATATATATATATATATATATATATATTCTTCAAAGTCTGTGAAACCTTTAGAATTTTCCATATTTCTGCATAAAACTTGGTGGCAACAAAGTTTGTGACCCTTTAGCTGGTGTGACTCCCTTGTGCAGCAATAACTGCAGCTAAACATTTCCAGTAACTGTTGATCAGTCTTGCACATCCGCTTAGTGTAATTTTAGCCTATTCTTCCATACAAAACAGCTTCAACTCTGTTATGTTGGTGGGTTTCCTCCCATGAACTGCTGCTTCAGGTCCTTCCACAACATTTCTATAGGATTAAGGGCAGGACTTTGACTTGGCCATTTCAAAACATTAACTTTATTCTTCTTTAACCATTCTTTGGTAGAACAGCTTGTGTGCTTAGGGCCATTGCAAAAGCAACAAAAGAGGCCCAAACCATGATACTACCACCACCGTGTTTCACTGGTGGGATACGTTTTTTTTTATGCTGGAATGCTGTGTTTTCCTTTCTCCAAACATAAAGCTTCACATTTAAACCAAAAAGATCTATTTTGGTCTCATCTGTTCACAAAACATTGTTCCAGTAGCCTTCTGGCTTGTGCATGTGATCTTTAGCAAACCGCATTGTTCTTTTTGGATAGCAGCAGCTTCTCCTTGCAACCCTGCCATGCACACCATTGTTGCTCAGTGTCCTGATGGTGGACTCATGAACATTAACATTAATTGAGCCACTGTGAGACAGGCCTTTAGTTGCTTAGAAGTTATTCTGGGTTCATTTGTGACCTCATGGCCTATGACATGCCTTGCTCTTGTACAGGTATGATCTCACAGAAAGTGAATACACATACATCAGACTCACTGTTGAGTGGGGAGTGTAACACTGGTATTGCATGTCCTCCATTTGTACACAGTCTGTCTGACTGTGGATGGTGGAGTCCAAACTCTTTAGAGATATTTTTGTAATCTTTTCCAGCCTGATGAGCTTAAACAACTCTCCTTCTGAGGTCCTCAGAAATCTACTTTGTTGGTGCCATGATACACTTCAACAAACGTGTTGTAAAGATCAGAATGTGATAGATCCCAGTTCTTTATATACAACCCCATTTCCAAAAAAGTTGGGACGCTGTGAAAAATCTAAATTAAAACAAAATGCAATGATGTGCAGATCATTTAAACCCTATATTTCATTGAAAATGCTTCAAAGACAACATATAAAATGTTGAAACTGAGAAATGTTATCGTTTTTTAAAAAATATATTCCCATTTTGAATTTGAATACAAAAAAGGGGGCAACAAAAGGCTGGTAAAGTTTTGTAATGTGGTGGTTAATTGGCAACAGATCAGTCACATGATTGGATATAAAATGAGCATCGCAGAGAGGTTGAGTCTTTCAGAAGTAAAGATGTTTCCAACAATGACTACTGGAGCAATTCAGTAGAATCATCCATGTACAAATATATTTGAATAGGTTATTTCACATATGCACCTCTGCACCTACAGTATATGGGGGTCCTAGGTGGCTGCTCTTTTTTGCCTATTTCAGAGACCACCCCCACATGTTAGGTTTAATTTTTAATTCATAGCGGATTTGTGTGTAGATATTCATTTTGCTCAACTACTTTCAAAAATAATTAAGCAAAAAACAAAATGCGATGCGCTCTGCTCTCCCCTACTTTGATGTTTTTTTTATTTATTTAGAGGGGGAGTGTTACATTGATGTTTCTTCTTACCTTACTGATTTGTCTTTTTGCAGCCTGCACTCTGGTTAACAGTCGGAATACTAGAGAAGAACTGAGAATCACAGCACATGCAGGAGGGTCAGTACTGCTGCCCTGCTACTGCACTGACCTACACACCAAACCCGGGACATTCACCTGGAAGAAACTAAACCCAAACACGAGAACACTGGAAGAGATATCCTTTGAGAGTGGTCAGTACAGAAACAGAGTTCAGCTGGTTAATGGTCACTCTCCAGGAAATCTCTCTCTACTCATATCACACCTGACTGAAGAGGATACAGCACTGTACAGGTGTGACCTCACAGAAAGTGATTACACATATGTCAGACTCACTGTTAAAGGTAAGACACTGTTTGGGATGTATGTTCATTCTTACTCCTCAATACTAAGTTTAATCTGAACTCTGTACAGGTTTGTTAGGTAAACATAACAAATTTCTGTGCTCATGAGCTTTAATCACATTCTGTGGTGACACTGCATTTTGTTTACTGTATTAACATACATTTGTATGTTTTATGGTAAGTAACTAGAATTTAATTGGTAAATATAGAGTACTTACTAGTGATTTTCTGGTACATACTTTGCACATGAAAATTATCAGGCATGTACAAAAGTTCTTACTTAGAATTCAAATGGTAAATATGTAATATGCCTGCCTAAGTACAGAGTAAATAATGTGAGAAACACCGGGTATAGTTTCGCTTTCAATATGTTTTATTATTATGTGAAAGAGAAATCTAGAGTAAAATAGTGTATGTACTTTTATTCCAGTACAATAATCTGTTCCAACCTTATTAATGTTATTTGTAAGTCCTTTGTAATATGATGGAAACAGGATCGTAAATAAAATTATTATATTGTACATAGTAATTACACATTAACTACATGTTCTCTTATTGTCATCATATTTAGAAATTAGAACCAAACATTCCAACAGGTTCATACTGGAAAGTCCTCTGTAATTTGAAGGAAACTAAACTGTACAATGATGTGTAACAATGTAAATTGTATTTACACAGAAACTATTTGTTGTCTTGACTAAAGAAAACTTAAACTGACCTAAATGAATTACTTACACAAAGAAAACAACAAGCAAAATACACAGAAACTTCAATTTGAGCCTGACTGCCACACACACACACACACACACACACACACACACACACACACACACACACACAGTGTACTCATATATTAATTGAATGCTAATGATATCACTGGGTAACTGTGTAACTCTGTTTGCTGGTATGTTTTTCCTGCATTGACTATCAAACTCTTCTCTCTCTACAGAGGGTCCACCTGAAACTATCACATCTACTGTAGTGGACAATGAACACACCAGACCAACCACTTCAACCACACATTCATCTAAAATGCCTGATGGTACAGAGACTCCCAATAAAAGTAAGATATAACAGCTTTATTATATCTTAATGGGAAGACTTTATCATGTTCCAAAACATTCCGCACAAGAGTTTGATATCTGAATTCATTGTGTGTTATTGCTGTATTCAATCATACTTTTATCTATTTATTTATATGGACACTCACACACACACACACACACACACACACACACACACACACAGAAATACATTAACACTATGTAATTGGCTGTGTATGTTTACTCATTAAATACTAGTTAATTAGCATACCATAAAATAGAGCACTACCAATATTTTGACAATGAATAGTAAATGCTAACAATGTCACTGTGTATCTACAGTAAGCTGTTTGCTGCTGCTCTGTTCCTGCAGTAACTATCAGGCCTTTCTCTCTCTATAAAAGATCCAACTAAAACTACAACATCTACTGCAGAGGTCAGTGTAAATACCAGTCCAACTGCTTCAATGCCTGATGTTAAGCACAGCACAGCGACTCACAGCAGCAGTGAGATGCAACTGCTTTATTATATTTTAGTGTGAAGTCTTTATCATGTTCTATACAATTCTGCACCAGCATGAAGCTTTCTGTGTAGTCAGTTTATTACAGAATTCACTGCTCTGCACATAGAGGAACAGGAGAACCCTTCCTAGGTTTCATATCTGAATTTATTGTTTGTAGTTCAATGTGCTGTATTCCATCATACACTCTTAAAAAATATTGTTCTTCGAGGTTTATTTAGTAAACAACAACAACAACAAAAAGTTAGAACCATGAATACTCAGCCCTTTTGCATGATTAAAGTGTCTTTGCATGGTGAAATGGTTCATAACATAGATGGAGAATGTACTGCAGAGATTCTATATAGAACCTTTTTGGCAAGAGTTCTATATAGCACCCAAAAGGGTTCTTCTACTGTTATGATGTCAAGCTCGTAACAATAGGAGAACCCTTTTTGGTTGTATATAAAACTCATGAGTGTTCATGGTTCTATACAAAACCATTTTCTTCACTAAAGAATATGAAGAACCATCTTTTTAAGAGTGTACTTTTCACTTTCTCTCTCTCTCTCTCTCTCTCTCTCTCTCTCTCTCTCTCTCTCACTCTCTTTCTGTCTCTGTTTTCTCACACACAGGTACAATGTCTCTCACCATGCTTTTCTCAATCATTATTCCTGTTCTTCTTCTCCTGCTGGCAATTGGAGGAGTCATCTACTGGAAATACAGAGGTGCACACGTACACACACACACACACACACACACACACACACACACACACACTCTTTTGAGATGTGCACAGTGTGTCTCACTTTGTATGGTTTCATTCTGCAGGGCAGAGGCGAGGACACATTGGAAGTGGAGAAAAAAGAGGGAAGAGGAGAGACCAGGAGACACAGGTGAGTCCCATCCCATCACATCCCATCACAGTCCATACACACACTTTATTATAGAATATATGGTCTATTTATATGAATATATATGTGCTTTACACCTTCAAACTAGAAACATCACTGTAAGTTACATTAGAAACATAAATACAATATTATAATTATGCTAACTGCAATGCATAATGGCTCTCCAAGGTCTACAGAACCACTTTCTGTTGAACTTAGACAAACTCTAAAGTGACTTAAAGTGATGAGTGTTATTTGTGTGTATATGTGCTTGTGTATATTAATATTTGTGTTCTCTTTGCAGGATCAGGTGACGTACTCTACTGTAGTCCACAGTAACACAACCAGCTCCCCCACAGTGACTGACAGTGGAGATAAGAGTGAATATGCCACCATCAGAGTCAACTAATAACATCCTCCAGCACCACTGAAGGGACCAATCCCATTTCTTATTTTTACCCCTACCCCTTGTTTTAGAGTGTCACCTTGCCCCTTGGAAACTGAGTTACAAGGGGTAGTGGTTGAAATCTTCCTCTACGAAATGGGACCCTCAAATAAAAAGAACGTTACTTCATTAACAGCTACCAGTGCTGCTCTGTAGGCGACCCTTCCAGTCTGCAGTGACAGCAGAGGAGGGTAAAGTTCAGCTCCTCACTGCTTGGCTTTAGTTACATTTAGAGCATCATATGCCTTCAGAAAGCGGGGATGCAACAATTATTTACTATTGCCCACCCCTAATTCTTCAGTAATATGAAGCAGAAGCCAGCTTCTCATTCAAATTTTCCTGTTCTAAGATAATACAATGGTTATCATATCATTTTTAACATAGAAGATGTTCACATTTAACATCTTGCTGTTTTTTTCTCTTTTTTTTCTCAAAAAACTGTTTGGAGGGTCATGTATCCCTAACACTTTGCCCTACTCCTCTATCTCAACAAGAATCGGGACACCCTACCCCTATATGTGAAAGCACAAAACGAAGGGCTAAGGGCTACGTGGTCAGGGCGAGGGGTGAAATGGGTTTGGCTCAAGAATTATATTTATTTAATGTCTTTTCTTTTGCTTTTCTTTTTGATTAAGGTTTACAATCTTTGACTCAAAGTGAAAATAAAATTTGCTTACAAATAAACAATATCTTTGCAACAAAAAAACTTCAGCTTAAAAATTTACTGATCCATGTTTTTTATGTTCAATATTTTTGACAATTATCATAAAAAATGTTTCATAGTATTAATAAGTGAAAAATTAAATATAAAAATAACAAACACAAACAAACTCATTCTAATCTAAAGTGCAGTGTTCTATCATAGTTTAAAGCAAGATCTAGACTGCAGAGCAAATCCTTACAGTGTAATTCAGTATGAGAGGATGGTTAATTTTCTTCTATTTATTTCCATAATACAAATAATGGTTCTTCAAGGGTTTTTCAGTAAGGAAAAATGGTTCTGTATAGAACCATGAACATTCAAAGAACCATTTTCATGATTATATGGTACTTTGCATTCTGAAAGAGTTCTTCAGATTGATGGAGAACATGGAGAACATGCAAATGGTCCTGTATAGAATCTTTTTGACAAGGGTTCTATATAACACCAAAAAGTGTTGCCTGTAACAAGCCTGACATCATAACAAAAGAAGAACCCTTTTTGGTGCTATATAGAATGCAATTCAAAAGGTTTCCATATAGAACCATACATAGCACATTCTCCATCAGTCTGTAGAACCATTTAACAATGTAAAAGAACCCTTTAATCAAGCAAAGGTTATTTGAGTGTTCATGGTTCTATATAGAACTGTTTTTCTTACTAAAGGACCCTGGAAGAACCATCATTTTTGGGAGTGTAGTCCACCTTCCATCATTATAGAAACATGAAATAGTTTGTACTACAAATAGTTACAACATCTGAAGTAAATTCACATCAGTCTTACACTACCATGTGATCACATCTCACAATCATTAATGTTCCAGAGAGAAGAACTAGAGATATCATATAACATCACAACATTTTTGTTCACATGGCTACAAACATCGAAGATCATAGTCTACCTGTACATGGTTTGGAGAAATATTGAGACTAAAATGAAGGAAAAGCTTAGAACTGCAGAGAAATAGCTTCATATGGAAAGCATGATATATCACAACATTGTGTTTGATTTATTTAAGTGAGGGTGATCTGTGGTCTGGCCTGCATAGTTTTATCAATAGGGATAAGTCTTAAAGCCAAGGCCTACTTTAGAAGCATAGGAGCAGATTTACAAACGTTTAAATCTGACATGACTGCTGTACAGCATATAAATATAAAATAGGGAAAAAATAAAATATATCTACAGTCAGAAACAGTTGAGGAATTATCAGGGCTATCTCTTTCACCCCCATCACCCCATGACCACTGCAGACATGGTAGCTTGGTCAGTGTGTGTTTGTGTGTGTGTGTGTGTGTGAGTGTGTGTGTGTGTGTGTGTGTGTGTGTGTGTGTGTGTGTGTCTGCTGTGAAAAGCTGCACCACAAAATAAGAAACTAACTGATCTCACAACTCAGGGCGCCATGTTACCATGTGTGGTTTT